AGCCCCAGCTCTTGCCAACTTAGCAATTTGAAAGTATGCAAACGCACGTAGATAAATAGGTACCACTTTGGTAAGAAAGGTAACAGCATTCTGTGCCCTTCGGCGTTTAGTCCTGTCAACCACATGACCACGGAAGCGTCTTCGGACAAAGCTGACTCTTCAGCTAACAAATGGAGATGAGTACCAGTCCCAGAGTGGGACATGACTAGCACGTATGTGCAGGGGAAACTACCTTGTTTTTACTACTCTGTACATAGTTTTGAACCCAAGCCCAGGTACACATCTCCCAGGTGTCCGCCATGACACCCAATTTTTTCCTTCCCTTTTTTCCAGTATTCAGTGCTCAATAACTAGCTAGTCTTTCCAGCATGGTGCTTTCCAGATGTTGGGAACACCAGCTTCAGCCAGATTGGCAAAGCTCATGAATGCTGGGAGTTGGAGTCCCACCCATCTGGAGGGGACCATGTTGGGAAGGCCATACTGGCATGTATTCATCTCTCTTGATCCAGGGCTCCTGGATCCAACACTTCACTTCCTGAGTCACCATGGCCAAGTAATTGCCACAAACCTGAAGCTGGAATTGCATCCCTCAGTGGTATCACCCAGGCTGAAAGGGCAGTCCAGTCCACTGAGCACTCTACAACTCCAGCTCCTGAAGATCTTTTTTCTCACTGGAAACGTCCTTTGTGGCTAAACTCCCTTTCCTAACACTGTCGCTTTGGAAGTAGACCTCTTGTTTGCCCATTTTGACCTCCTAGTTGCTTCCCATTCTTAACTTAAATACATGTGTGTTTGTGTGCGCATGTGCGTGCGCATTCTTGTTTCCCAATACAAACATTCTAACCTGTTAAAATAATTCAGTCAAGTACATATTGCATAAAATCCAATGCAAGTCTTACTTAGACTAGGCAAAATGAATGCAAGTTAAATTAGTCATGGCTAACTTAAGTCCCTATTTCAATAGGACTCTTTCAAGTAAGACTTATGCAAGATTGTATCCATACAATTTCAGTAATTTGAAATTGGTGTCCAACTTTTCTGGACAATCTGGATGGAGTTTTTTTTTCCTGTCTACTTAGAGTGTGTAATTTTATTTCTCACCAAAATAGTCTAAATCTTTTTTTTTCTTTATACCAGACAGCACATGTTGTTTATCACACTTTTGTTAAGGGGATCCTCACAGTGCTTAACACGGATCACACATTCTGGTTGTTCTGACACTTTGGAAATAGACTCTTGCTTCTTTTGGAAGCTATGACCAGCTTCCAGCCTGGCTTTGGATTTTTGTGTGCCACGTTGTGCCCTGCTTGCCTTGGCCTGTGTTCTGGTCACGTCAAATTCCTTGCCTTACCCCAGAATCGGTTTAGAAAACTAGGAAGCTGCCATATTGAGGCAGGGTCAGACCACTGGACATTCCAACCTAGTGAACAGCAGTGAATCTCCAGGGTCTCCATCAGGATTTTCCCCAACATTCTCTGGAGATGAGCAGGTTGCTTACCTGTAACTGATGTTCTTCGAGTGGCCATCTGTGCATTCACACATATGGGTGCTGCGCCTGCGCAGTGCCTAGGCCGGAAGATTAGAAAGTTAATGGTTTTTGGCGGGAAAACGCTCCCCTCCCCTCCCGCCTGCAGTATAAATAGAGCGGAGCGTCCGCCATTTTACTCAGTCTTGAAGACCAACGTTTGCCCCCTAACGTTCGAAAAACAGAATCACAGCAAGAAAAATCGGTACCGTAGGAATAACATGGAACCGACAGTAAGAAAAACAGTCCACTCACCGACACCATGCGGGGCTGGCGGGTGGGTTGTGTGACTGCACAGATGGCCGCTCGAAGAACATCAGTTACAGGTAAGCAACCTGCTCTTCTTCGTTGTGACCTCTGTGCATCACACATATGGGTGATTAGCAAGCTTACCAGACTTGGAGGAGGGAAGGTGTCGTCAGTGAAGAATGGCAGAGAGCACAGCTCTACCAAAGGAACAATCCCTTCTGGCACGTACATCAAGCCGATAATGCTTGGCGAAAGTACATGGAGCAGCCCAAGTTGCAGCCTTGCAAATATCCTGAATTGGAACCCCTGCTGCAAAGGCCGACGAAGTCGCTACTGCTCGCGTAGAATGCCCCCTTGGAAGTGAGGGCAAGTCAAGCTTTGCCAATTTAGATGCTAGGACTATGGTCTGCACAATCCATTTGGACAGTCGCTGAGATGAGACTGGAGAGCCCTTGTCATGAACAGCATACTTGACAAAAAGTCTATTGGAATTCCTGAACACTTCTGTGCGAGACCGGTAAAAGGCTAGATAGCGCCTAACATCCAGCGTATGGAGAGAGCGCTCAATCGGAGTTGATGGAGATGGAAAAAACGCAGGGAGGACAATGTCTCGGTTCAAATGAAACGGTGTAGCCACCTTGGGAAGAAACTCAGAGTCCATTCGGAGAACGACTTTTTCCTTGTGAAAGTTCAAGAATGGTGGGTCTATGCGTACAGCACACAGTTCACTGGCTCTTCTGGCTGAAGTAACTGCCACAAGGAAGGCAGTTTTCCATGAAACTAGGCGTAAATCCACTGTTGCCAAAGGTTCAAATGGAGGTTTTGTGAGGGCCTGAAGAACAACAGAAAGACTCCATGTCGGCATAACAGGTCGAACCGACTGGTGCAAATTTTGCAGCCTTTTAAGGAATGGAGTCCACTCCATATGGATGGAGTCCACTCCAGGCAGGATAGCCACTATAGCCGTGCATAGCCCAGTCATCTGCATGGTGCTCTGATGAACGGCTCCTACACCTAGGAGGGGAGTCTGGTCCCTCAGGTGGCCCAACAGTAGGCATTGGTGTAGGGGAGCGTTGCCTCGGTGGGGAATCTCTAATTTCTTCATCAGAGATGGACTCCCTAAGCGGTGGCTCCTGTGAAGGAGACACGCTTTCAGGCTGAAGAACAGGCCTAGGGGATCCTGGAGGCGTCACCTGCATTGCAGACTGCAGGGCTGGCCCCGAGGGAGTCGGTACTGTGACGGCAGTCGGTACCGAGAACCCCGACGAACCCGAACCTTGGTGTTTGGGGCGATCGGGTTTCTTGCCCTTGTGGGCTGCCTTAGCCGCCTCTTCTTTCCTCAGCTTCTTATGGCCAGAGGGCCTTTCCGGCTCTGAATGCTTACGCTTCTCCTTTTGTTTGGCAGGAGGAGAAGGTAGCTGTTGCACTTCCATTGGAGCAGCACCTTCATCCGAAGGGTGCTGTGGCGGCGTGGCTGAAGGTGAGATGGGGCGCTTAGGGGGCGCGGCCGGGGTAGAGGTGGAGCGCTGAGGCGGCGCAGCCGAGGAAGGGGTAGGCCTCGAGACCAGCTGGTCAGATTGAAGCAAGGCCTGGTCCCAAAGTAACTTGCGGAGACAATTCTCCCTATTCTACCTTGCCTGTTTGGTAAAGGCCAGGCAATGCCCGCACTTATCGATCCTATGCCCCTCGCCGAGGCAGAGAAGGCATAAGTCGTGTGGGTCCGCGGGAGACATTTTGGAGCCGCACTCACTACACTTGCGAAATGCCGCCCGCTGTGCCATCACAAAAAGGAAAAAAGAGATGATAGTACAGAGGGTAAGTAATATTTTGGGGGGTTTTTTTAGAGAAAGAATGAACAGAGGAACTACAACAAGGGAAAGAGAAACTGGGATATATAATGAGGAAAAGGTAAGTTGAACAAGATAACCGTAAAGGAGCACATGGCGAGATCTAAGCGAGAGACGAGCAGGCACGAGGCACTGTGAACGGCGGTCGCAGAGACTGAGTAAGATGGCGGATGCTCCGCTCTATTTATACTGCAGGGGGGAGGAGAAGGGAGCATTTTCCCGCCAAAAACCGTTAGCTTTCTAATCTTCCAGGCTAGGCACTGCGCAGGCGCAGCACCCATATGTGTGATACACAGAGGCCACGATGAAGAAGCTGGGGATCCCACAGCCTTCTGCATGCAGGGTGTTCTAAGGCTCAGCTGTGGCTTTCCTGCCAAGAGCCCCACTTCTGCCCAACCACACACACACACACACACACACACACACTACAGACATGGGCAGAAGCAATGTCAAGGCATCCCTCCTACTTTCCAGGGGAAAGTTCTTTCCCCATTGTTCCATGGGGGAACAATGAGGTCACAAGTCTCCTGGCCACTGAATCACAATGCTCATTTTACAAAGCAACCCTTTCCTACTCTAAACTGGGGATGCTCATCTCTTTCAGCCCAAGAGTCAAGTTCCTTCCAGAGGAAGCTTGTGGGGGCAAATCCAAGTGGTGGGTGGAGCCAAAGGCAAAAGGGGCCATGTCCAAAATATTGGCATATTTCAGATTAAAACTCTTACTGCCATTAGATATCCCCAAAAGAATTTCAGTCAACTATGATCATTATATTGCATTTATTTCTCACCTTTTGCCTCTCCTAGCCGGTATCCAAGGTAGCTTACGCAGCTCCATTATATCCTCCCAACAACCACCCTGTCAGGTAGGTTGAACTGAGAATCTGTGACTGGCCCAAAGTCAGCCTGTGTGCCTCATGGTCAAGAGGACTAGAACCTGGATTGCTCTAGTGCCCAGTCCAACACTCTGGCCCCACTCCACACTGGCTTAGAAAGGAACAAAGCAGTGCAAGGCTGAGAAACTATCAAACCATCCATGGCTGTGGAAAAGGAATGGAGCCAGCAGGGGAACCCCTGAACAGCCATACTAGGACCCCACCCAGACGGCCCACATTTGGTCTGTTCCAGATGCCTGGTCTAAAGCATGAAGAGCAATCTTTGCTCCCAGACAAGTGTGCCTTTTATAGCTTTGGTTGGCTGTTGGTGGCACTGGGGTCTTGACTGACCCTCAAGAGAAATGTCAGCTGGCTAGAGGTTTGTTGGAGGAGTGGAGGATTTCACAGTGAGACTTGTAAGATTGGCCATCACAGTCCTGTCACCCTCCCTGGGCAGGTTGCACAGAAAGATCTGTTCTGATCAAGAAACAGAAATTGGACAAGCACTTTCCTCCTTCTTCTTTTAATAAAATCACTTTTTAAAGAAAACATGGGACAAAGTTGCACCCATTAACAAAAACATTTTCCTATTATGTATCAAGATAGTAACTCAAAATATTTTTTTAAAAAATCTGCACCTGGATTCAATTAATGCATTCTTTCAATTGGCACAATGCAGTCCCTCCAGTTATTCTGGATCTAAACAACCTTAATTTTGGTTATGACATTTTCATTTTTTCTGGAACAGTTTAAAGCTAACCAATCTCTTCCCTGCACTCCCACCCCCAAAATAAAAACAAATAACTTTTAAATTAATTATACAGAAAGAGATCCATGGCACCAACCCTTTCTGTTGCTGAGCTGAAGACAGTCAAATTGTGTGCAGAACAAACCAGGTGAGTATGGACCTGGAATCAAGCTCTCAGACCATCACTGTTAACTTATGCAGGAGCTAAGAAACATGTGCCAGGGCTGTTGTGCTTCATTCTACAAGGCTGGCGATGATATGGCTGAATGCTTCTCCATGCAAACATAGAAAACTATGACCAAGAGAAGTTCAAGTGGCTAGAATATTTCTCCTGGACCACAGTGAGAAGCAGGCTGCTGGGTTTACTTATTATTCTCCACTGGAGAAACTAAGGCTTGATTCAGACACTTGCTGACCCCTTCACACAATCCCCTGTGGATGTCTGCAGGTCACCAAGGTGTCTGCACCTTGACTGAAGTGCTATGAAACTGCTGACAACAGAGCAGTTTGACAAGTGGACTTCTCAACTGCACAAATGTCAGTGATTTCCCAGCAACCCTCCATACCTACCCGCAAAAGTCAGAATAATCAATACAACTGGAGCTTGGATGTGATTTTTGGTCCAAGTCTGAGCTTCTAGGTAGTTTAGAACCACCAACGTCCCCCCTCCCCCAAGTTGTATGGGCTACCATGAATGGTCCTCCTCTTTCCACAATATTTTCCTTGTCATGGTGAAATGGTAGCCTTTAAAATGAAAGGATCAGTAAAATTATCACAACACACGGATAAGGTCCAATGTTATTCTGGATCTTGGGATGTCAATTTCACGAACTCTGACTTCTACTTTTTCTCCTGGACCCAGGCCAAGGCTTCTTCTTTGCTTTGCTTTTGAAAGTTTATCTTCTGTTACGCTCCGAATTGGAATCAGTCCTGCTCTACCAACTCCAATGTCAACAAACACTCCAAAGAGAGTAGCATTCTCAACTCTTCCCGTGAGAATCATTCCAACACTTAGGTCTTCAAGACAAACGATGCTCCTCTTGAAATCAGGTTTATCAAAATCTGTCATAAAAAGGGAAAATGAATTAAAAATGGAAAGCCATGATTTCAAAATAAGACTGCATAAACAAAATAAGACTGCATATGGATGATCTTGAGATCGTCATGATTTGTTTTTCGTGAAGATGTAGAAAATGTACTCAGCATCTCCACTAAGATGTTATCTGGCTTTCCAGACAACAGAGGTTATCAAAATGTGCTCCACAAAAGCGCAAGCTGAAAGATGCCTTGTTCATGGGAACTCCTATGTCACAACATAGTCCTGGGGAGTCTGAAGTGCATTCTATGGCAGATTCCCACTGCAGTAGATGAAAAGTAGTTTCAGGGCTCTGTATGAACTGAGTGCATGTTGGCAAGTTCTGGGTATTCAGGGTCCAGTTCTCTCTCTTGCCCCCGCAAAGGAACCAACATCTCTCCCTTCCTACAAATTCATCAGTGGGGGAAAAGCAGTGATTTTGCCTTAAAACAATGTGTATGAGAAGTGAGATTTCAAAGCGAAATGACATTCCTGGAAGTTTCCAGAGTATTGCAACACTGGGGGAGGGGGGCACAGAGGTATGTGACCTGCTGACTGCATGGTGTCCATCTCAGCCTTAGATTGCACTGCAGAATTTTCCACAATGCACAGAAGTCTCTGTGGCAGAAATGCAGGGCTGATCTGGGAGGATAAACATTCTGCAAACCAGTAGGTTTGTTATTTTGCTGAAGCTTTGGTTGTGTGCTCAGATGGGCTCATATTCATATTGCCCACATTTAAAACCGACTGGCTGACACCACTGCTGCAGAAGTTGTGCATCAAAAGATCCTTCGGACTGCATTCCCAAACACCCTTATGGAGTCCGCTCCATTGAAGAGAGTGAGAATCACTGGTGGGACTGATAGGGGTGGTAGTCTAAACCAGGTGGACAGCACCAGTTTGGAGAAGGCAGGTTTAAAACATCCACATGTCATGAACACAGCATGCTGATTCTTAGGAGAAAATTAATTAAAAAGCTGGTTGGGAGGAAGGAATGGAATTGAATGTCATGGAAGAGGGCCTGTCTGGCTGGTATACTGAAAAGGAGCATTCCACGACACAGCATTCAGTTGTAGGTTCCAGTGGTACATTTTAATGTTACTGCATTTTATGGGTCTGCTCTCCATTGATCAAGTAGAAGGTACTTTTAGGATCACTTCAAGAATCTTAAATACTACTCTGCATATTCAGACAACTCACATGGTACAAGAGCTCAGAACACGGTGGCGCAGTCTGAAAGACTCTGCAGTGGCGCCCCGACTATGGAATGCACTCCCTAGAGAGGTCCGCCTGGCGCCGTCATTATATGCTTTTTGACACCAGATCAAGACCTTTTTATTTAACCAATATTTTAATGTCAATTGATTTTAGTTGTATATTTATTTATTTAACTTATTTTAACTATTCTATTTTATGTATTCAGTTATGGTATAGTTAATTTATTTCGTTTAGGATTTAGATTATACTGTAAGCCATCCAGAGACGAAAGTGATGGACAGCCTATAAGAACAGGCTGCTTACCTGTAACTGATGTCCTTCGAGTGGCCATCTGTGCAGTCACACATATGGGTTCTGTGCCTGCGCAGTGCCTTTGGCCAGAAGATTAACAGCTAACGGTTTTTGGCGGGAACTCTGCTCCCCCTCCCCCCTAGCATTATATAAGGAGCAGAGTGTCTGCCATTTTCCAGTCTTTGAAAGACCGGTGTTTGTTGTATAATAAAAAGGTTTGTCAGAATCACAAGAAATCCAAATTCAGTAGTGGTACGACACATAGGAAAAAAGATATAGTATCGCAGAAAATAGTCAGACCACCCATGACACCAAGCGGGGTCGGAGGGTGGGTTGTGTGACTGCACAGATGGCCACTCGAAGAACATCAGTTACAGGTAAGCAACCTGTACTTCTTCGTCGTGGCCTCTGTGCATCACACATATGGGTAGAATAGCAAGCTTACCCGAAATGGAGGAGGGAGGTGTCATCAATGAAGGACAGAAGAAAGAACAGCTCTGCCAAAAGAGCAATCCTGTCTGGCACGGACATCGAGTCTATAATGTCTGGCGAAGGTACACGGAGTAGCCCAAATGGCTGCTCTGCACATGTCTTCTATCGGGACTCCTGATGCAAAGGCCGAAGAGCAGCGACAGCTCTTGTAGAACGGCCTCTTGGAGTAGATGGTAAGTCCAACTTAGCCAACTGATAAGATAGGACAATTGTATTTACTATCCATTTCGAAAGACGTTGTGAGGTGACTGGGCAACCCCGAGCATGTTCCGAATATTTCACAAAAAGTCTACTGGAACGCCGAACAGACTCAGTCCTGGACCTATAAAAAGCTAAGCAACGACGAACGTCCAGCATATGTAGAGATCGTTCTATCGGATTCGAAGGGGTCGGAAAGAATGCCGGTAAAACAATCTCCTGTTGCATGTGAAACAAAGTAGCGACCTTCGGAAGGAAAGACGGATCCATTTGAAGAACCACCTTTTCCTTATGAAAATTTAGGAAAGGGGGGTCTACCTGAAGGGCGCAGAGTTCAGATGATCTACAGGCTGAAGTTACTGTAACAAGGAAGGCCGTCTTCCATGAAGCAAGGCGTAGATCGATCGTCGCCATGGGTTCGAAAGGTGGTTGAGTCAGTGCTTGTAAAACCACCGAAAGACTCCAGGTGGGCATTAGAGGTCTTATAGTTGGATGTAGATTACTCAATCCTCTTAAAAATCTTTTAATCAGAGGTTGAGCAAAGATGGAGAGGCCATGTATAGTTCCCCGATAATGCGAAATCGCTGCTGTATAAACCTTTATGGACGAGGGTTTGAGTCCAGACTGATGCAATTCAAAGAGAAACTTAAGTATCTGTGAAACAGAAGCTGAAGGGGCCAGAAAAGAGTGTAAAATGGCAAAGTTAGAGAATCTCTGCCATTTTGCTACGTACGACTTCCTAGTAGATGGTTGTAGCGCAGATTCGAGGATATACTGTAGGTCTGGGTGTAGACTCTGTTGAGCAGGAATAGTTGGAACAGTTTGTGGTGTCGATACTGTTGTACCAGAGGCCTCCTGCAGTCAGTTTCAGCGATAGCAAATATGGGTGACGGATTGTGCCCTCCCTCTGGGTAATGAGATAAGGAAGAAGAGGGAGTTGGAGAAACTCTTCTCTGGAGACGTGAAGGAGAGTTGAGAACCATGGTTGGCGTGGCCACCAGGGGGTGATCAGTACCCCTGTGGCCCCTTCGTGAATGATCTTTGCCAACACTCTCATGATGAGTGGGATAGGAGGGAAAGCATAAAAAGTCATGTTTGTCCAGGGAATCATGAAAGCGTCCCCGAGGGAGTCCTGACCCACTCCTGCTCTGGAACAATATGCCGTGCATGCCCTGTTCCGTTGTGTGGCAAACAGATCGATGTCTGGCTGGCCCCACTGGTGAAACAGCATGTCGCGAACCTGATGGTCTAGCTCCCATTCATGGGACCGCGACATATGTCTGCTCAAGAGATCGGCATCTGTATTTTCCGTGCCCGCAAGGTGAACTGCTACAAGAGTGATACCTCTTGGTATGCACCAGTCCCAAATCTGCATGGCCAGGCGGGCTAGTTTCCGGGATCGGGTTCCCCCTTGTTTGTTTAAATAAAAGACTGTCACCATGTTGTCCGAGGTCACCTGGACGACCTGGTGCAGAAGCACATCCTCGAATGATTGAAGGGCTTTGAAAACGGCAAGAAGTTCCAGAAAACTGATATGGTTCCTGCAATCCCGCTGACTCCATATCCCTTGGGTACGTAGATCGGAACAGATTGCTCCCCATCCCAGTAGAGACGCATCGGTACCGAGGGTTATTGTAGGGTACCGGGGTCGGAATGGAACGCCTACAGTTAGATTGGCTGGGTCTATCCACCATAACAGGGACTGAAGAACGGAAGCCGGGAGTCGAATCTGTTTGGTAGGGGGGTCTATCTGTGGTTGAAACACCCCGTTGAAGAACATTTGAAGGGGACGCAGCCTGAGTTTGGCATGTGGAACCACAGCAATGGAAGTAGACATGTGACCCAACAGACTCTGAATAGACCGGGCGGGAGCAGTTCTTGTTTGTCGAATTCAAGCGATGCAATGAGCAATCGCATGTCGTCTGTCCCGAGGAAGGAAGGCTCTTGCCAACGTCAAATCCAGTTGGGCTCCGATAAAGTTGATCACCTGCGTAGGGAGAAGGGAAGATTTCCGTCGATTAATACAGAGTCCGAGATCGTGCAATAGAGCACATGTAAACTCAACAGCAGACGAAAGTCCTGCTTCTGTGTCGGCGGCCAGCAACCAATCATCAAGGTACGGGTATATCCGAATTCCACGTAATCGAAGGTGTGCACAGACAGGGGCCATACACTTCGTAAAAACTCTTGGTGCAGTGGCCAATCCAAACGGTAGCACATTGAATTTGTAGATTTCAGAGTCCACCGCAAAACGAAGGAAACGCCTATAACTTGGATGTATTGAAATATGAAAATAGGCATCCTTCAGATCCAATGAGGTGAACCAATCTCCTCTTCCCAGCAACGGAAGAATACTTTGAAGTGTAGTCATCCGAAACTTCTTTGGTCTTATAAATCTATTGAGAGCTCTCAAGTCCAATATTGGTCTTAGACCCCCATCTCGTTTCGGAACCGTAAAGTATCTGGAATAGAAACCGTGGAATCCTTCCGATAACGACAGGCAACGAATAGCTCCTTTAGCGAGGAGTTGGTGAATCTCGTCTAACAGTACCAAAGAAGTTGGAGTATATCGAATAGGATTCACTGATGGTACAACGTCGAATTCGATTCCATATCCATGCTGGATGATAGATAATACCCATCCATCAGATGTGATGGACTCCCAAATGGAGAGTCGACTCTTCAGTCAATCCCCAAATGAGAGGGGGGAGGGTGGAGTTGGAATGAGAGGAGAGGTTCGCTTGTCACATCAGCGCTGTCGCCTGTCCGTATCGAAATGGCAGCGGCC